CGACATGTTACAACACCTAATGAAGAAATTATGCAATGGACATGAGACAAGCATGCAAAGGGGCCTTAAACCATAAAGGGGCAGACCTTGATCCACCCCAAAACAGTGGCCAAAGGTGCCTAAAAAGGTGGACAAATACTCATTCCAACAAGCAAGCCAATGGTCCTAAGGTTAAGGCACAAAAGGGGGCACTTCACTCCCACCAACATGACCACTCATGGCATGAATTGGACAAGCCAAAACAAAAACTTAGCAAGCAAAAATAGACCCCAAAACCTACTAACATGGCAGCTAAAGCGGCTCCAATAAGATGCATGCACCAAAGCTCATATCTAGGCATAAAAGGCATACCCTCAAAGCATGAAAGAGGTCACATATGCAAGCATACAAGCACGATTTATGGACTAAAATACGACCCTAAATGATGCCAAATCATGAAGATGGTCCAAGCTACACATGCTAGAGGCCAATATGCTCAAGGCTCACAAGCCAAAACACAAAGAGAGGACACCAAACATGGCAAGCATGACTGAAACAAATGGCCAACAGACCTTGAATATGGTGAAATAATGCCAATATCTTCATGAAACTAGGCTAACACATGCGAGAATCAGGGCCTAAACACAAGATGCATTTCTAGGCCAAATAGAGGAATGTAAAGCAAGTATGTTAAGCATGCAAAAGGGCACAAATCTGACCAAAAACAGAGATCATATGTGACCTAAGGACACCCAAAAAGTTCTAAAATAAGGCCAAAACCAATCAAGCATACATGTTACCCTTTAAGCCAAAATGCAAGGAAATAAGACAATGAAGGGAGAGGGATGTCCCTCCCCTATGTAAGACTTCAAACCACCTTCCTTACCACTGAAAATCCACTGGTTTTCAGTGGTGAGAAGACCAAAACACTCAAGCAAACAAGGCCTCACAAAGGAAACACCAAAAGGGCCAAATAAGGCCTAAGAGGGTGAGTTTGAACTCAAACCACAAAAGACCCTTAATGAAAGTTCTTAAGTATGAAAATATAAGCCTTTTTTATGTTATGCACAAAAACTAAATCAGCAAGCAAGATAGGCAAAAGACTAGTGCAAGTTTGGGGAAACTAAAGCAAAGTACTCACCCTTGAAACACACCTCAAGAACAGCCAACGCAGCCCTCTTCTTTTGATCAAAAATAGCCCAAAAACTCAAGAATCAACCCTCAAAGTCCCTCAATTTCGGAGCAAGGTGTAATAGTGTGTGTATTAGTGCAAAAGTAAGGTCAAAGTACACTTTTAAGCCATGAAACACACACAAGGGAGGAGAGAGAGAGAAATATAGAGAGGGTGTAGCTATATGTATAAGCTCTGGTTTTTGCCTTCAAACTTTCTAACCTAGAACAAGGAGAAGACCTCTCCTCTTATAGAAGTCCCTCTTGCCAAGCTTATACAACAAGCTTGCTTAGAGGGAAATCCCTCCATACACGTGTATGGAGGGAAGCAGAGTTGGTGCCAGCTATCACAGCTGGCACAAAATATCTACATAAAGTAGATGAACAGTAGTCGGCTACTCAAAATTGCCATTTTGACAAAAAGGAGTGCCGACCGGCAACAAATAGTGCCGATCGGCAATATAGATTGCCGATGGCAGCAAAACACCAGCCGGTGGCCTCAGGCCATGGCCGGTGGTGTGTGGGGATGCCTCACAAGGCATTCCCTACCCCTCCAAGGCAAAACACAAGTGTTTGGTGCAAAACCAGACACTAAACAGTCAAGTTCGGAGATCCTGAGGCAAGACGCGTAGCCGAGACCTCCGGGAACACCAAACGAACACAAACAAGGGTAATCACCAAGTGTTCTAATGGTGACGTCCAAGTCTTGAGGCCTATGAACCAAAGTGTGCAAGTTCAATAAATGCAACAAATAAAGACTCTCAAACCTCCTCCCTATCGTAGATTGATCAAGGGAAGTGGTCGACAATGACTCTTGAACCGTTTACATCTCTAACAAGTATGAAACAATTCAAGACTCAAGGGTTCAATTAACGTCCGATTGAACCCTAACCAAGTTATTATCTTGCATCATTTTAGTCCCAATTTTATTACTTCATTTTAATTTCCAACCATTCCTTAGTAAATTAAGTCCAAAGGTGAGCTTTAAGTCCTCTAATGGAAAGGAGTATCAAACCAAGAGTTGTTTTAGGCATGAAAGAATTGGCATGTCATTGGTAATGAACCCCCAAAGAGATTATTAAACCATTAAGCACAAGACCTCAATCCCATGTTTTAAACAAGCAACTAGTTTGAACCAACTTTCAAAGCGAAGCAAAAGTTAAGAAAGGAGGGAGGTTGTAGAAGTGATTAGGGGTGAAAACAAATATGAAAAGCCATAAACAAATGCTATCAACTCAAATAGGTTGGTGGCTAAGGTCTAAACCACCAAGCCTACGAGGACAATTACACTACAAGCATGCAATACAAGGCTCAAATGCAATTAACAACTAAAAATAGTCCTAAAACAGTGCTAAATAAGCCCTAAAACATGTTGGAGTTAAGGCAAAAATAGCTAGAATAATAAGCTAAAACATGGAGCTATGTAAGCTAGTAAACAAGACACAAGGAAGGGAGGCTACCCCCTCAATTTTTGGGACTTCAAAAAAACATTTGAGCCAATAAAAAAGCTTTGAAAATTAGTGTTTACAAGCTCAAAAAAAGATAATGTAAAGGTGAGAAACACAAGGGTAAAGTAGGCTCAAAAGTACCTCAGCTCAAAAATGGCAAGGTTTGGTTTAGAGTGTATAGGCAAAGGTTCAATAACTAGCAAGAGAGAGAGAGAAAATAATTTGCTCCAAAATTTTATAACCTTGAAAGCAAGAGGGAAGGTCCTCTATATATAGACAAACAAACTCCCTCAGAAATATCAACACATACATGTGTAAGCAAGTGCATGCATCAGTGACAACAATTAGCACAACTGGTAGAAAATATCTGCAAAACACATTTGTGGCCAACAAGCCACACAAGTGGCCGGCAACCAAAATTAGTGGCCGGCAGCCAAAGGTGATGACCGGCAGGTCCCAAGGTTTTTCAGGCTTGAAAAACTAGGGTTTTGATGCAAAAACAAGACACAAGGTTTGTAGGGTTTGAAGGATCAAAACTGTGGCATTCCGCTGAGGACTTTCGAGCACTTGACAAGCATACACACATTCATCATTGGGTGTGCAAGTGGTGGCGTCCAAATCGTAAGGGCGGTCAAAAATGGGGTGTCTACACCAGCCCACGTGAATAAACCACCTAACGATGAATAAAAGATAATAATAATATAAATTAAGGTAACAACTCTCATCCAGATGTGTATAGTATAGTCACACAATACATGTGTTTATCCGATTCCGTACTTCTTATATACAACATCTAAGTGGGATGAATGCTCTCTATATGAAACATACAATGATGTTATTCATTAAATTAAAACGCTTTTAGGGTTACATCATATACAAAGGGTATAACCCTTACAAGAATGGCACACAGCCAAATAAAGAAAACAAATGGCCCAAGGCCTACAAATAATGGAACCACCCTACAAAGTTCCGAACACAACTTTAATGCCTCAGTCCATATTCTTACATTCCATACACCTGAAAAACATTTTCAGCCACGTAGGGTGAGCATAAAGCCCAGTAGAGAATATTTTAAAAACTAAATATGCTCTACTATCATAAATGATCATGATGCAGTACACATATACGATATGCCCAGATGCGTTTTCAAAATCTATCTGATTCCCTGAACAAAAATCTTTTCTTTCCAATCACCAAAACCCTTTTTGTTTATTCAAAACAAAATTTTCAGAAATCAAACATCTGTTTGTTAAAACCCATTTCCAAAACAAGTTCGGTATATCACAATACCAACCAGCAAATACATTGCTAAACCAAATGTGAATACATCACTAATAACAATAAATACATTGCTAAAACTGTTTGAAAACATCATTTTCAAAACCAAAACGATAATAAGTAAAATGGATAAATCTCCAGAGCTAGTGTTCATAATAGTAACTTTACAAGTCACTATGCCATTTTTTCGAGATTATCCAGATGGAATCGGCACCTACCGCGCGGGTTTTAGGTCTTTCACCATGGACACATAGGCCAACTTAATTCTACTTTAACACCCTCTTACAACTTTACCACTTTATTTACCCTTTTCACTTACACAGTAAATGTTTTCCAAAATAACATTTTTTCCAAAACAAGTTTGGTATTGTCACGACCCAAACCCACCCCGAGAAGGTTGGCATCGTAACCGGCCAATAATCCTAGATTACCACAGGCCTTTCTATACAAAACATACATAACCGGGGCTTGCGGAAGCGAAAACAAAACACTAATAGTCCAAAGAGCTGTGCATTTATATGAACATACATTACATGCCAAAAATGTTAATTTACCCACTTCATTACATCACATATAATCAAAATTCATGTACAAAACATAGGCTCACGCCACAAGTACAACCAAAACTAAGCTTCCTAACGGCCTTCTAGGCCTAGCCCTAACTCGGAGGCACCAAAACACCGGGTAGGCTTCAAAACGGTGGCTCGGCTCGGACTCCTCCTAGGCTTGACTCCCAGAGTGCTCACCTATAAATACATATATACAAACAATGAGCTAAAGCTCAGCAAGTAACATTAAAGTAAAGGGGTAGTGAACGAATTCTACATTTCATATATCCATAAAATAAATCATTCATAAACATAATCATCTCATATTAGAACATACATAATGGCATACTCCATAGAACATAACATTTGTCGTCCAACTACTAGAGTAACCGGTCCCAGACACCGATTAAACACATACCGAGATCTCGTAAACTGGTCCACTTAGTACTATCTATGGATGCCATACTAGATTCGCAAACTGGACATTCGTTCACAAAAAAACATTTATCATTTCAAAACCATAGCATAACGTAGCACTTTTAAACATAGATCATACTAACATATCTTTACAGAAATGTTACTCACAGTGGGTTTCCAAAACCGGTTGCACGGTCTTTGCCTCCTGACCTGCAATTATCAACATATAACACATTTCTTCAATACACATTATCATTAACTCACTTAATTCATGCCATTCTATCTTTTCTTTACTCTATTTCATGATTATGAGATCATTAACATGATAAAATCAAGTAATTCATGCCATATATGAACTGAATACAACCTCCAAAGTTTTCCTGAAAATAAGTCCCCCGCTCGAGCGCCACTTTGTCTGCTCGAGCGGACTGCACAATTTTCCAAAACTGTTGGGAGGCCGATTTTCACGCTCGAGCGGGAATACCTCCGCTCGAGCGGATTGCGCGAAAATCTGAAATTCTAAGGAGCGCCACTTTGTCCGCTCGAGCGGACTGCACAATTTTCCAAAACTGCTGGGAGGCCGATTTTCACGTTCGAGCTGGAATCCCTCCGCTCGAGCGGACCATGCAACATCCGAAATTCTGAACTTTTCCAAAGCTTTAACCTTTCCTTTAACAAAAACAACTTCAAAACGATGGAAACCAAGCCCCAAAACACTTGAAAATCACTTGATTTAGACCTTACAACTTCTCAACAAAACCCACATGCATCATGTACAAGATCAAACCATGAATTGAGGTGAAGAATCATAACTATTCATGTAAAAGCTTCATTTCTTCATATCCATGGAGGTTCTTCCTCAAGAATGCCAAATATAAACATAAATCATCAATTTATGCCGTACATGCTCAAACTAAACATATTTCTTCTTCAATCCACTTATTTACCATGAGGTCATGCATGAATCAACCTTATTTCAAGAAATTAGAGAGGAATTCTTACCTTGATTGTTTAAATGAAGAAGATAGCTTGATTTCCCCTTTCTTTACTCTTCTTCCTCCCTTGGTTCTCCCCTCCACGAATTCTTCTCTCTCTCTCTCTCTCTCTTTCTAGATTTTTCTTTTATTATTTTTGAGTCAATGAGTCAACAAGGCCCTTATACTTATCTATATATCATTTATAAACAATTGTGCCAAACTTTAAGCCAAACATGGCCTAACGAATCAGATGAAATTCAGTCTTCAATTTATCGCCCCAAATGGTTCTAAAAATTCCCGGTATCTCATAGACGCGTTCAATTTCGTTTTCCGAACCCATTACGGTTGTCAATTTCGGTTCCAAAGTTCTCATCTCAACAGATATTCTTCTAATTCAAACAGATATTCTTCAATTAATTTGCATAAACACATAATTAATTACTGATAAATATGACACATGTTTTGGGGTCATTACACTCTCCCCACCTTAAGAAGTTTGGTCCTCCAAACTTTGCTTATCCAGGCACAAGCTCGGTTAGAAACAACTCCACGGTTCTATTCCGTCATTCAGCATGATAAGGTAGTTCGTATGTCCACTCCATAACAATGAAGGCAGTGTCATAGCAGTCAAACACATGATGAACATATTTTACATATACTGAAGTCAGCTAACAAGTTCCATAGCGTTCAATTCAGAGGTAGTAACGTCGATATGACAATCCATAGCAAAGGGAATAGCAAAGGTAAATTTGTTTCATCACAGTCATAGTCAATTTATTTCATGTCGTTCAATTCAATATTTTTCATCGCATAAGTAACATAGCCATCGCATAGATAACAGTGCTAACATCACAACAGATAATAAAAATCATACCTGTATTCGCTTTTCCAATATTCTGTGTCTTTTCTGAAACTAGGGTGAAAACCCTTCCTTGCCTCAATGTATTCCCTTCAGGAGTAGATGTTACGGTTGTCTTTGGTGTCATTGTTGAGTTAACTCCACTAGCAATGGGTCTTTCATTTCTTGAGTAAACTTGTGGACAAGCTTTAGCTATATGTCCTTTTTGTCCACATTTGAAACAGACTCCAGTTCCACGGCGACAAGTACCCCAATGTTGCTTTCCACATTCCCTACAAGTAGGTCTACCTACACTTCCATTACTGCCCTTTGTTGTATTATCACTAAAACTTGAGTTCAAATTTTCATTCACGGAGGCCACTGATTCACTAATTGTTTCCACTTTCTGTTTCTTGAATTTCTTACTTTCCGCTTCAGTCATGGTTGTTAATTTAGATGTCTTCAAAGCCGTAATATTTGTTTCAGCCATCAAGGCTCTGTAAAGTACATCAATATATTTTTCTAATTTCAAAACATTCACCCGGTCAAGCACCTCAACATGCAATCCACCCTCAAACTTCCTTGCCTTCTTGTAATTTGTATCAACCATATGAGGAGCATAACGGGCTAATTCAGTAAATTTACTCTCATATTCCGCTACTGACAAAGTGCCTTGCTTCAACTGTTCAAATTCAGATATCTTCCTATCTCGCATACATTGTGGAAAATATTTTTCATAAAACGTCTCTTTGAATCGATCCCATGTTAAGTCCCTATTCTCACCTCGTACGAGCATCCACCATCTTCGAGCTTCTTCTGTCAGAGCAAATGTTGCTAACAAAACTTTATAGACATCTGTACACGGAAACACTTCAAAAATCTTTTCAGTTTCTAATACCCATGCTTCCGCTTTTAATGGTTCAATTCCCCCTGCAAATTCTGGTGGTTTCAGTTTCTTGTATTTCTGTGTCAAGGTGATAACATCATCATTATTAATCGGTTCCATTTGCACAGGTGGTGGTGGAGGAGGCGGAAATGGTTGTCTCTGTTGTTGTTGGTTTTGCTCTTGCTGTTGTCTCACCAACCTAGTTAAAGCTTCCACCATTCTTTCTAACCGATCTATTCTGGCATTAGAAGATTCTGACTCATCTACATTTCTTGCATTAGTGTTCACCATTGGTCTCTAGTACCCATAGCAGATAGATGTAGACGCGCTCGTGGGCCTCACTACAGTTCGGACTCGATTTGTGTCCCGGTTCTTAATCTGAACCAAAGAGTCCAAATCTGGCAAATCGTTTTGAGAAAACAGATTTTTTGAAAGAAGTGCCAAACATGGACTGCTTTGCCAGATACAGAGTCGCCACCTAAATATTTTATTTTGAGGGAATTTAGGAAACCCTGACTCGGTGCCAAAGGCCACGTGTCTGTCATCACCAAAGTTGCCTCGGCTCGGGAACTCGGGTACGATTGGGGAAGGTCAGCTATGAGCACCCCCTCTCGCCCGATCCGAAGATCGGCCTCTACTAACCGTGATATCTTGTTTTGAAAGCATTATGTGTTCTTATTCCAGTTATTAGCCTAGAATTACTATGTTGTGCGCACAGCAAACAAGTATAGACCAAGTCGCCTAAATTGGAACAAAACATTGCATGTTTGTTTTGAAAATGGTTTGCTACTCGCAAGTAGGCTTAAAATGCAGGTTTTGCCACCCTCAAGTGGGCTTTAGAAAAGATGGTTTTGCCACAATCTAGTGGGCTTAAAACTCACAGTTTTAATGCATTATTCCAATTTAGGTAATTCAACCTCCATCCACAGGCATTCAAGCAGTTATATCACATAAGCAGCTAGCCTCATGGTAATCATGCTGTTATGGCAACACTCACACACATGCGGTATGCTAAAGCATAAATGCTTACCGAGTACTCCGAGCCAAAACAAAAACTAGCTAGTAATCATATGCATGATCCTAGTTCATGTTAAAATGGCTAATGCAACACATGCAAAATGCAACTAAGATAGGCTCGGCTAATCTACAATGACATGTGAAATGCTACAACTAACACGTATTCAATTTGGAATTGAAATACAAATGCAGTTAGCGTAATGTACCGAGCCCGGTGCATGCGGGACAAATGTATTGGAGGCACGCATGCATAGCATAAGGTATGCTACTTTTAAATATGCCCTAGTCTACCATCGTAAGCAGATAAATAAAAGGGAAGAAAGACGTGGGGTTGGAAGACATACACCCACTCACGCACACTTATTACACAATTGCCCTCACTCGGAGGGTACAAATAAATATTACAGTCCGAATAATAAATACATTAATTTATTACAGAATTTCTAATTAATTAAAAAGGAGAAAGGTGGCCACAGCCTCCGCCTCGAGATGCGCGAATGATGCATGCTCGAACCCGCCTTGCCGGAAAGTCCGTACCATACCAAGGCTGCCTCTGTTTACACTGCCCTGCTTCTCTGAAAATTGCCAAAGTTCTGGGACAGGTTCCTTGCACACTGAAAAATACCACCGGCTGGGGGAAATACCCACCGGCCCTGTATAATTTCCATCGGCTGCTGTTGGAGTTATCGGCCATTCACAAATGGCCGGTCGGCATTGGATTCTGCCGGTCGGCAGAAGATTCCTGCAGAGGACAGTTTTGACAGCAACAGAGGACAGACAGTATATGGCATGGGATTTCAGGCACATGTGAGCATGGTCATGTTTCCCATCATGCTTTGAACTCAGGGAAGCATGGCCCTCGATCCTCGAGCCATCAATGGTGCATGACAGCCCAAGAGATCAAGCTTGCCACTTGATGTAAAAATGCATGCAACACACAAATAAGGACCAAGACCCTATCATACCGAAGTCAAGGGTCCCGGTGACCGAGAGTCAAGGCGCATTACATCACTTATAGTATGAACGCTCCTTAACCCTCACACTTGGTTTGACACCCCAAACCAAGTAATGCAATGCATGTTATGGGAACAATGACTCAAAGATACAACATGGGATTAAAATGCAAGGCATGCCAAGTGCCATGCAACTAATATGGCAAGTATGCAATGCTAGGCATACAAGATGCAAATGCAATGCAAACATGGACAACATAAGCAATAGGATCAACATATTACTACACTTGATGAAGCAATCATGCAATGGACATGAGACAAGCATGCAAGATATGGAATAATAATGGGAGTGACAAGCATACAAGATGTGATCTAAGCATGCAAGTGTGCAAGGCATGCATCATATTAAGCAACCTAAACATGCAACAACACACAAGTATGCCACAACACACAAGGTGAGCATGCGTCAACATGCAAAGGATGGTCTTACACTAACTTGGACAGCTCTCTACTAGGTCCAAAACGGTGGCCATTAGATGAAAATGAGACTCTCGAAACGCGTGCACGCATGTACGCAAACCGAGGACCAAACCTAAGGCATAGTATGCAACTCTAACAGGGCATGGCAAGGCATGAAATATGGCATACAAGCATGTAATTCCAGCACTGAAATGTGATACAAAACAGCCCCGAAGCATGGAAACATGGCACCCGATGCACGGAATGGCCCCGAAACACAAAACTAGGCATACACATTGGCCTATAGCTATACAAAGCATGCATTATTTGATTATGAAGCATGAAGACAGAGTCAAGGCAGTTCCAAAACATGCATATTTCCAGTTCAAAGCATGGCCAAAAGATGTTAGCAAGATGGACTAAAATAGTATGCAACTTTGACTAGCAAGCATGGGTTGTATGGCAAGTATATGATGTACATGGAATCTCACCAAACCGTCAAAAATTAGTGAATAAAACATGTAAAAATAGGCCCAAATAACCACTGATACGCAACCATGGCATGCAAAAATGATGAGTTACTTTAGAGGGCCATGCAAGGAGTTATTAAGCACATGCAAGATAGACATTTAGCAAGACCAAATCAACTCTGAAAATGAGTTCTGAGGGTCCTAAAACCCACCGAAAAATGCCTGAACCGAGCTCAAGAAGTGTGCAAACGTAGGCCCCTTTGTAAGGCCAAAAAGGGCATCAAACAAGACAACAAGGAGAGGGGATGACCCTCTCCTTCTTAGGACCTTAAACCACCATCCTCACCACTGAAATCCCTCAAGATTTCAGTGGTGAGGAGGCCCAAACAAGGTGGTCCCGGAGCTCACTAAAAATGCACAAAAACGAGGCCAAACAAGGCCTAAGAGGGGTCAAACAACCCCAAACACAAAAGTGTTCTTGAACAAACTTAAAAAGGAGCTAAAAACAAGACTTTTTTCAGTTATACACAAAGCTTAAATCAGAAAGAAAGATAGGCTAAAAGTGTGTGCAAAAATGGGGAAACTAAAGCAAAGAAGTTACCCTTGAAGAACCTTTGATGAACAGCAAGGTCAGACCTCTTCTTGTGATCAAAACCAGCTTAAAACTCCAAGAACAAACCCTCAAGGCCTCTCAAGTCGAAGTGTGGTGTAATGGTGCGTGTGTTGGTGCAATACTATGGTCAAAACACACTTTAAGGCTCTTAAACACACACAAAGGATGAGAGAGAGGGAGATACATAGAGAGAGGGTATATATATCAGATATATATGCCCTAGGTCTGGTTTTTGCTGAACCAAAACAATGGAGGAGGATGGGTTTCTTGTATAGGCAAAGGGAAATGGTTTAAGCTTCTCAAAGAAGCTAAGTAAAAGGGGCAAAAGGGGCAAAGGAGGTCAAGGCTTCTAGAGGAAGCTAAGACAGCTGGCCAAGCTTCTTGAGGAAGCCAAGACAAGGGATCAAAACTTCCTCAAGAAGCCTTGAGCAAAGGGTGCAAAAAGAGGGGTCAAAGGTGGTCAAAGGGGCAAAATAGCCACATATATGCACGGGGAGCAGGGTCTGTGCATCCCAGCTGGCACAGCTGGCCATGCACCATGCCTGGAAGGTGCAAAAAGGTCAAACCGGCCAGAAAAGGAGGTCGTCGGCCAAAATAAATGGCGCGTCGGCACAATAAATTGCCGGTCGGATAAATAGATTGCCGACAGATGCTTCCAAGGTCAAAAAGTGGCCGGTGGGTGTCTAGATTGAAGCCCCGGAAGTTAGCTTTCCAATGGCGCAAACCTTGCATTAAAATTCCTCCTGTGCAAAAAGTTATACCCTTTTTGGTGAAGCCGCGCAGATTCGATCCAACCGGGATGATGCCCAACTTCAACTGATCTAATCTCTCCCACCCGGACTTGGCTTTGAGAGATTATTGAGTGAAAAATGAAGCCCCAAAGTAAGCTTTCCAACGGTGGTGGACTCATAGCTAAAATCCAAGTATGCAGATTAATAAGCCCGATTCAGCGAGGCTGCTTGACTCCCTTCTACCCAGATTCATGCCTGTCTTCTCCTCCAACTTGGTTTCTTCTCTCTTCCCCTCCTTTCTTCAACTTCAAACCCCTAAGCAAGGTGTTTTGAAAGATTTTTCAAAGATTTCATCTCTCTTTCATTCATTTCCACTTCGTCCCTGCTCGGTTTACTGAAAAGCGCAACGTTTGATAAAATGCGAGCCTCGGAACAACGCATAAACTTTATTTGAAAAAAAGTTTTGAAAGAGAGGGTTTTAAGGTCTAAAAACCATCCAAAATAGCTTTGGTCCAAAACGGGGTGTGAATTTGAGACTTGCCTCTCTCCTTGCCGAAGAAACTGGATCTTTGCCCTGCACACCTTTTATCACCAAGTAAACCATCAGTAACGCCCAAGTCTTATGGGCTGTCAAAAATGGGGTGTCTACAATAGAATTTTTCATTCTCAACATAATAGTTCCTCTGTTGTCTCATCATTTACAGTTCTTGTCTCTTTATATATTCAAAAACACACGCACACATGCACATATGTTTATGCCATGACCTATCTCTTTTCTAGGACACCCTACAGCTCATATGGACACGTGTGTGAGTAAATTAACTCGTGCGCTCTGATACCATTCTGTCAGAGACCCAAACCCGCCCCGAGAAGGTTGGCATCGTAACCGGCCAGTAATCCTAGATTACCACAGGCCTTTCTGTAACAAACATACATAACCGGGGCTTGCGGAAGCGAAAACAAAACACTAATAGTCCAAAGAGCTGTGCATTTATATGAACATACATTACATGCCAAAAATGTTAATTTACCCACTTCATTACATCAC